AAAAAAAAAATTAAAAAAATCTTAGAAAATGAGTACAAAATTAACACATACATCGCAATAAATGAACGGGCGTGATCGGTTGTCCAAACTGTAGTTGATACCTTCGATTCCATGCTTCTCCAAAAATACTGGTTTTGACGGAAGAATCACTTTCCTTCCAGTCGGCAGTTCCTTTATCTGTCAAATTAATATAATCAATCATAAAACTCGCGAGCTGTGTGACTGGCCACGCTACAGGTCAAAATAATTGATAAAAAAAGCCAGTTACATAGCTGAAGAATCGAAGAAATTCAAGGCGCATTATACATCGAACAAACGATGGATACTTGCTTGAGGCATGCAGTCTGGGACACAGTAGCCTGGGATAGCTGTTACCGGCGTGCGGGAGCTTCCCGGTAACTGGCATCACTAGCACTAGGATCCTCACACACCAACTGTCCGGGAGGTCTTGGCATTTTTGAAAGGCCCTACTCCACCGGCCTGATGCCTTTTCATTCCCTTCCTTTTCCGATCGAAAGAATGAACAGCAAAAAACAACTGATATCACCAGCAACTGCGACAAACAAAGGTTTCCGGAAAACTGAAGAGTAAACTAACGTTAATATCATCATCGTTGAAGATGTCGCCCAGTGAATTACGTTTTAGTGCAGAGAAGGTTGCTGGCGTAACAGTTAGCAAGTTGAGGGAAACAATCAGAGCAATGAGTTTAATCCTAGCGCTGCCACTCCCATCTCCCATTGCTGCCAACTGAAAATTCATTCGGCACATCAGTGCACCCATACATGCCAGCACAAGAACAACGATCATAAGCGCTAAGCATCGAAAAAAAAAAATCATGCAATTCGGAAGTGTTAAAAATGGTGATTCGGAGGGCGATTCAATAACCCAGCCTCCCATGAAAAACCGAGGCACCTGGAAACAGCCCGAGCACTACCGGATGCCTAGCAAAGCAGTCCGCGAAAGTTGCTTAAAAAGCACTTTTAAAGGCCGATTCAACATCCTGGCGACAAATTTACCATCAAAACGAATGGATGAGTCGTAGAGCGACTGACCTGGCCAAGCATCCAACCTTGCTAAAGCACGAAAGCAGCGCTATTTCCCACTTTACCATGCTCGTCGGCAGTTAAAAAACAATACGCGCTTTTGCATTTGCGTATATGCAAAACCTCATAGTGAAATCAGTTATTTTTAGGATTTTTACAAATTCATGCAAATGCAAAATTCATATTGGCAAGAGGTAGCCTGAGCATATACATGTGTGCATATATATGTGTGCCTGGGTATTCGCATTTTGTCACCCACTTTCAACTCAGCAACCAGAGGAGCTAGAAAGCTGGAATTTTT